AAGCTGAGGAAAATACTTTTGAAATAATGGAAAATTAAAAACTTTAAATGAACAAACAACACAATGACGCAGACTTAATATTTTTTAAATCTGATGATAATTTTTAATGTATTAATTTTAATGACACACTGAAAATAGTTTAATGATTTCATAGTTTTATAGTAGTTTAATTTTAGTATAAGAAATATAAATTAAATATTTATACATTTCATTACTGATTTCATCAAATACACACATATTGTAGGATATAATTGTTTATGGTGCCAACATTTTTGACAACTCCTCATCTTGCAAACATCCTTTCAAGAACTCATCTTGGGTTAATTGACCATCGTTATTTTCGTCCATTTTTGCAAATATATTTTTTGCCCTTTCTTCTGCTGAATCAGCTGGACGATTAGATGAGCACGCTCCTAGCATGTCATAAATTGCCTAGAAAGACAAACAATACATTAATTTTCCATAAATGAAAACTTAAGATAGCCTTTTAAAACGTTTCAATACGCAGCAATATTCAGAAACTGATTAGGTAAAATATTTTAGTTCCTACCTGAACAATTTTGGTCATTTCTTGTATGTCTATGACACCGTTGCCATCGACATCATACATTCGAAAGGCCCACTTCAACTTTTCTTCCGGTGTTCCGCTTGAAGTAACATCTATTGCGAGTAAAAATTCCTGAAATCACAATTTTAAAAGAATTTAATTTTTGAGATACTTAATAATATCGTTGTTTTAGATAGATCTGTTAATTTAGTTGATTTAATACTTAAAGTAACATGCGCGAAAGGGGGCCCACAAACTGACATAGCTATACAATAAATAATAACACAATATGCATTCTCATCACACATACAATACACAAGTAAGGAACATCCAAATATGTACATTGGATTAAAAAAAAATCACAAAATACCCCCAAAGTCAACTGTCGGTGAATTTTTAAACACGTTTGGCTCTAAAACATGTTCCTAGCTTGTCCTAATATTCTTTGAACAATTTCTACAGATAGTTGTACAAATGTTTAAATGACCAAGAAATTAAAATTGAATTGTAATTTGTATATTTTTTTTTAACAATCCTAAACGACAGTTGGTAAATAGAAAGCAACACCAACCAAACTCCAAAAGAAAACTTGCAAATTGAATTCTGTATCGGAAGAAATAAAATTATAGTTTAAAAAGAAATTACCTTAAAGTCAATATATCCATTTTTGTCCATATCGAATGTACGAAAAACATGGTCGCAAAACTCTTCCGCATTTCCGGATGGAAAAAACATTTTATACATATCGACAAATTTTGCTGGCGTCAATCGGCCGTTGGGACAATCTTGCTGTACAAAAAGAGACGAACGAACCAAATTTGAGACTTTTCCTTGGTGTGGTAATATTTGTACTCACCTTAAATCCTTTATACCACTCTTTAATTGTGGCTTCGTCATATCTCGTATGCGTTTTTAAAAACTCCATGTCTTCTTTGGTTAAACGGTCTTTACTACTTAAGCACCCCATGTTTTCACTGTTTATAACTTTTTAGGAGCTAATTTGTTTCTATTTAGTTGTTTTTTTTTCTTTGTTTAAATTGCTTTGCCTGGTCTGAACATTTGACTTAATGTTTATTTGTGGACAGAAAAACTCCAAATCAATAATTGTGCTTGTATAGCATTACGTTAACGATATGTATGAATTGTGGCACGAACAAATGATGATTGAACGAGCGACTTCATTTATAAATTTTTCTTGATAATAATAAGCAAAAATGTACTTGACTATTAACTTGTATATTTCAAACCTGATGTGTACCGAAGGACTAATCAAATGGTTGAGGCGCATGCGCGGAAATTGTCTCTATACATGACGATTATTGGTTAACCATATTTTCTGTACACGGTAGGACTTTTTTAAAAAAGGAAACAGGGTTGCCACGTTCACCTACAACATTTATATTGAATTACAAAAAATGCTAAATGCTAAAAAGTAAAATAGGTTGAATAAGAAAAACAAATTAATATTTTCAAATTAAGTTCCCTCTAGTAAGGCTATTTCCAGCGCTGAAGCTTTTTATTTTAATAGCAAAAAAGAAATGGGCTGCTTTCCGCTCTTTAAGTTATTTAGAATAAAAATCTATTATATTTTAGGCATATTTTAATTAATATATCACTTTTTATTGATATTAAAGATTATTTATAAAAATGTACAAAAAGCGATGCAGAGCTGCAAATTATAAATTGTATCAGTCGACTCCCACGTAGAATGGTTACCTCACCCTCAAAACAAACAGTCCCACAAATTGCGATTCCGTCAGAAAAAGCTAAATGCCATTCTGGAGAAAGCGAAGATCAATAATCTAATAGTGCAAGCGATAAACAATTATTTAGTTTCGCACAACCACGAAACAATTACTTTTAGTTTAGAGTCTTTGTTTCATCTCTTTAATTTTTCTGTATATTTTTACCGAAAATACAGTAGGATTAATATATATTGAACGACGAATGTTCTACAATAATATAATTAGGTACTCCATTCTTATAGAGAATGTTTTTTTTACAACACACATTCTGCTGTTTTATCAATTTTAAAAATTATCTGCAAGGGTATTTTTTTACTTTTTTTTGTATCATAATTTTATTGGTGGTTTAAATGAATCCAAATGGGTATTAAACATGATTAGTTAATACTATTGACTAATTTAAAGGTTGACACACACATTTTGGAAAGTATTTAATACAAATCGTATCTGTTTAATTGGCTGCTTAAGTATTGAGTTAGTCATGCATATTGGGCTACAATTAGGCTAGGCACGAATATTATTGGTAGAATTTAAAATTTGTTTTATTTGAGATCTTAAACTTACATGAGATTATTTTCCGTCGACTAAGTCAAGTAGCATTATTTCCCTCATGAGGCTAATAAGCTGAAAATAGAAATAAAACAGCTGATAAATAAAATATATTTTTCGATTTCAATGATGATTTTGTTAGGAATAAAATTTTAAAAGTCAAAGGAATATTAATTTGATTAGACTTATTTTTAAAATTTTTCGAAAATTAGGCTTTTTTTTTTTAAAGTTCAGTAAATTTTCTGAATTTTGCTCGAACAAAATTGAAGACAATTCCAGCGATTAAATATCGATTTTGAACCGATGATTTTGACATATTTATTAATCCAAAATCAGTTCAAAACATAATCTTGTTTTTAAGATAATTTATCAAAGGCTTATTGGTTAGGACTCAGAAATATATTACAAATCTTTAAGGTCATGGTCAATGGGAAAATAATGAGTTGATTTAAGATATTTTATTTTGTTTCCTATGACACAATTCCGTTCCGCTTTCGAACACGTATTTTGAAAATTAGATTGCGGCCAAGGCTATACAGTATTAAGGTCACTTGTTAAAGCTTTGGTTTAGCTAGTTACTACTCTTTATTCCGGAATATGCGAAGCCAATACATTTTCAAAACCCCTTTCATGATGAATACGCTGAACGAAATGGAATTTTTGGCACACGCATACGCCTGCGTGTCACGTGGGGAAAACACGGCCCGCGCCTATAATTTTTCTGACCGAGGGTTTTGTGTTATGGCTTTTTTATCTGCTACATTTTCACACCAAATCGGGCTAGGCTATAGATACAAAAAATAGCACTTCCGATCCAAATTTTCCGTATAGTATAGCTTAAGCTGGGTTTACTTTCGATGGCTGTGTGGTTCAATTAACTACGCGTTCTGACTCCCAATGGGAATACTCGGTACACCGTCTTACATAAATTGATACTATTTCGCTCGAGAACTTAATGCATTAATATAACCGGCTCGTATAGTGGGGGGCTTCCAATTTAAATAAAGTAGTTTGTTGTTTGTCCATATGTATGTGCGTATGTATTGAATTTGTATGTCACATGGGCCACATGCCCTCAAAATATTCATATTTAACACAATTTTAAATACGCATTTTTATATCCTATATAAATTCGTCCTAAATTGTTATTTTTGATATTTATATATGTACTTGAATGCATATATACATATGTACACACAATATATGCACGCAAAATGAACAAAATGTGTATATATTTCTGGTTACTCGGATTTTTGATGCCTTTATGGGCGGTAAGCCATTTTTACCTGAAGAAAAACTATTACACATAGATTTTAGGCACATTTCTACTGCCTGCTAAATTAAAACAGTACCACTTTTTGCAAATGCAATAAACAATCAATACAACAAATTTAGGGGTGGCTTAAATTAAGACGATATATATTGAATTAGAATTATATCGATAAATTATTGTTGTTGTTCTCAATATATCGATACCAAGCACAATAAACAACAACAAATTTAAGGTGGCCATTTCGAGGGTGAAACAAAATCGTTCCACATTTAATTTAAAAAAATAAACCAAATAATATCAGTCATAATATTATCAATTTAATTATTAAATTTATATCTGGACGTTACTTAAAAGTGTTTTACTTTCTTTTGTAAAAACAATTTTTAGCATAAACAAATAAATTACTTACAAATCTTTTTCAATTCTATTGTTACTTTTTAACCTAAGTTAATAACTGTGTTCAGTTCCGATTTGATATATTTGCCTTGTTGCCTCTTTGTACTTTTTATACACAAACAAATTTTGTGCTGCGGATGTAATCACTTTCAGAAATTCTGATTAGTTTTTATTTTTTATTTAGTTTATTTTCTGTTATTGCAATCATAGTTTTCCTTTTAAAAAATATTAATTTCCAGGTCTTTTAGTTATAAAAAAATATGTATGTTTTTTAAGTAGGATGCAAAATGTGTTTAAAAGGTGTTGTTTTTCTTTAAATTCAAATTTAAGCAAGAGATCCCATTTGGCTAATCGTTAGCGTACATAGGTGTTAATAGTGATTTGGCCAATTAAATTTAGTATGTGTGTATGTATGTCAAACAATGTATATAGTTTCTGCTTCTCGATATATATAGATTAGGTTTTCTAAGTGCATTTGCTTCGAGCAGCAGATCGATCAATTAGTCTTTTTTCTTTTATATCAGTATAAACACTATAGTAAAGGTATAGTCGCTTGATTTTCTAGTGAACCCAGTATCCTAGTTAGCTGGACTTGGTAATAGAAAACCAATGTGATACCCTTGCCCATAACATACAAATATATATTTGCCTATTAATCAATAACAAGGATTTATCTGACAAATAGTCCTTTCCAAATGTATCTGTGATTTTAGTGGTTTTATATTACTTGCCTTAAAAGATAAAGCAAATCAATTTAATCTAATTAAAATAGCTTTAAGTTCGTTGAGTGATGTAACTATTTAAATATAGATTATATGCACTAAACTATTTAAATCGACCTAAATTAAAAAGCGTCCTGAAATTATAAAACATAAGAATAATTTCCCAAGAGAAATACAATACAATGTTACGCAATTATTGAAAATGTACGTCGTCTGATGAAAATGGGGAGATGATAGGTTCTTTAATAAGTGAAGCTTCTAAGAGATTACTATACAAGAAAGATTTCGAATAAAATATTGATTTTAAGCACTTAGCATTCAGGGACTAAAGCCTACTTAGGTGTAACATTCTGCAGAAGACTTTTGACTAATAAACCCACCTGTGATCCCAGTAATATGGCAGACGAAGAAGATCCATGGGGTTTCGACGACGGCGGCGAGGCGGAGCAATCGACCCAGGCATCCAATCAGGGCACTCCGGCCGTGCCCTCCAAGGCACCTAGTGTGGCGTCCGATCACAAGGCTGACAGCGTGGTGGCTGGCACTCCGGCCAACGAGGAGGTTCCGGCCGAAGAAATCGAGGAAATCAAAGCGCCTCCACCTCCGCCAGAAGATGATGGATATAGGAAACCCGTTCAATTGTACCGACACTGGGTCAGGTTGGTATACCACGAAATTTACGAAACGAATCCCCGTGTTCTTATGCAATCCAACATTTTCAGGCCCAAATTTCTCCAATACAAATATATGTACAACTACAGAACCAACTATTATGATGATGTAATTGACTATATTGACAAAAAACAAACTGGAGTGGCACGGGAAATACCAAGACCTCAGACGTGGGCGGAACGTGTCCTGCGCACACGAAATATCAGGTAAAAGATTTTTTTTAAATTAATTTCAAAATAAAATATTCATATTGATTTATTTCAGTGGCAGTGACATTGATTCTTATGCACCAGCAAAGAGGGACAAACAATTAATTCAAACACTGGCTGCCTCAATAAGAACTTATAATTATCATACCAAGGCATACATTAACCAGAGGTATGCTAGTGTACTTTAGTAAGTGCACTTAAATAGAATAATAGAAGCGTTATAAAAGATGAATACTCGTAGTTATAGAAAAGATAAACATTTTAAATGATCTATACATTATAGTCAGTCAGTAAGCGTTTGTATATCTGCGCATCTCCACACTCGGTATTGACCTTACATAATCTAATGTAATGAGGTTGATAACGCTCGGTAACACTTTTCAAGAAACCAAATATATATTTTGTATATTTTCTTACAAGCGTAATTTCTGTTAATATATTTTTATATATATTTATATATATTAACACAACTTACCTCTCAATACATGGTATTTTTAAGATTATTTACTTCATTTTTAGCAAAGTAAATAAATTAAAAAACATATTTATATTTTAAAGCTTAAAATAAAAAACTGTGCAATAAATAAAAATAAACAAACATCGTCGTTTTATTTATCTGTATGAAAGGTTTATGGTTTACAAATCGAGAAATGTATCCATAGCTTAAATTGAAGACACCTAAGTGGAAATAGGAACATTTCCGATTGACATTTTATACAATTAGGTCATCGATGGTCCTAAAAAAAAACGTATACTTATTCGAATTGTTAAGTAATCAATTTCAATAGAAATCAATCGTGTTGATCTAAATTTAAACATGTCCTAAAACTATTACATGTTGTAAATAAAATTTAAGTTACTCGTTATTATAAAAATACATTGTTTTATTTAAACTTTCATCTGGAAGTAAACACGAAATAACACCCACTTCGATGAACTGTCCATTCGGTACTACAAATAATAAATCAGAATAGTCCAAAGTCCGGATATATAATCCAGCGCTTATACTCATACTCACCCTAATAACTCACAGTATAGTAAATTAAGCTATTGTGTGCGTTTGATTAGTAAATATATTTAGGGTGGACAAGTCAATAACTTTTTGCTGGGTTTTTAATTTCAAATGCAAAAATGTAAATAAAACAAAAATTGAAGACAATAAATTATAATAATAATAATAATAATTTTATTATGCGTGGCGTTTTCTTATAAAATATTTCAAGACTTCATGTTTAGTTCACTGGTTCACCCTAACGAAAATTCTCTATATGGGCTACTATTTTTTTTTCTTTTTTATTCAGACCTGAGATATAAAGCACAGCGCAATGATACAATTTAAACCGATTAGCTGTCTTATTTTACTAGTGTTTCTTTTTGAAACTGGGTGTACAGAATTTTGGTGAGAAATATATAAATGACCTGAACAAAAATAAGAAATAAATCAATGTTATTTCTTCAGTTTAAGAAATGATATGCACGCATTAATTTTAGCCCGCGGAGGAAGCAAAGGCATTAAGCTGAAAAACTTAGCTGAAGTTGGAGGATTGTCACTTTTGGCCCGTACAATCAAAACAATTCAAAATTCGTCTTGCTTCAAACACATTTGGGTTTCCACAGATGACAAACGAATAGCCATCGAGGCGCAGAAGTGTGAGTTTAAATCGGACCACTTTGATTTTGGATTAAATAATTAATCAGTAATTAATTACTTAATTTCAACTTGCAGACGGTGCCATTGTACATCGTCGCCCTGAGAAATTCGCTAGAGATGATACCCCTTCAATTCATGCAATTACGGAATTCCTGGATGTTCATAAGAGTATTGAAGACTTTGCCTTATTTCAGTGCACATCCGTTTTTCTAAAAACGAAATACATTCAAGAAGCTGTTCAAAAATTTGAGTCACATGACTGTGTTTTTGCTGCTAAGAGGTAGGCAATTTTATTCAGTTTTAAAGTAACTAGGAAAACGTTTGTTTAATTGCACTTCATAATTTAGGTCGCACTATTTACGATGGAAAATAGTTGATGATATTTTGGTTCCAGCGGAGTTTGATTTAAATGCTAGACCAAGACGTCAGGACTGGAAGGGTGATATTGTGGAAACCGGGATGTTTTATTTTTCAAGAAGACATCTAATAAATAGTGGTCTTCTACAGAATAACAGGTAATATTTAGTTTAGAACTATTGTTTTGCAATCCGCGGTAAGCTAACAATATTTTGAACTTTTAGGTGCTCCATTGTGGAAATCGATGTCAAAGACGGCTTAGAAATTGACTCAAGCCATGATCTTACATTGGCCAAATATATTTTAAGTAGTGAAACCAAAACGGATTTATAAACATTAGAACTTATGTTCTTGTTTGTTGGCAGAATTACTAATTCATTATATTTTGAAGATCATTTCTTGTGGAAATCAAATATTGTATCCTAGTACTGTATGAAAAAATAAATCGTTTAAATCGTTTTAAAGAAACAAAATTTTTTTTTATTGTTTTCGCATATTAGCTTTATTTCTTTGATAAAGTTCCTAGAACTTTTACGCAAAGAATTTTAAATGTAAATTATTTACCAGCCCCTAAATCGTGTAAATCAAAAATGTTAATAAAGTCAAACGAAATCACATTTTAATGGGTATCAATTTATTGTTTGGCTTATAATGAATATTTTGAAAATAACATTTCAAGTTGTGTCTCTGTTTAAGGAATAGCTAGTGATTCGCTTGGTCAAGAGACGTGGCATTAGAGCAGTGGGTCTCAGAACCAGGCAACTTCTTCCGAATCGAGCTATATACAATGGGGATATGTTGGAATTCCTCTTGATATGGGCAGAACCACCAATCAATCGATTTTGTATCTTGTGTGACTTCTTGCTGATTGGTTGATTATTAAGCTCCACGGCTTGCTGCTTGTTTTCCTGTTTCGGAATCTCAGCTGGCTTCTTGCTAAATATTTCCTTTACTTCATCATCGGCTCCTTTGGATAAATTTTGACGTCGTTTATTAAGATTTATGGGGCAGCAGACACATTGTTGTTGTTGCTGCTGCAAATGTTGCTGTTGCAATTGTTGCTGCTGCAACTGTTGCTGCTGCAACTGTTGCTGTTGCAATTGTTGCTGTTGCAATTGTTGCTGCTGCAACTGTTGCTGCTGCAACTGCGATTGATACATCTGTTGGTTGTTGAAAAACCATGGGTAATGGCAACAATATTGCTGATGGGCTTGCATCCTGAAATGCGAGCTTTGGTGGCAAGTACACAATGGCTGGCAAGGGCAGCCAGAGTAAAACCCAGTGGCAATGGGAATATTTAATTGTTGGTTCTGCAGCGTAGAAGTCGAAGTTCCCATAACGGGTGGCATCAAATGCTGAGTGTACTGATGAATGGAATTAGCATGACCATCAAATGCCAAAGAAGAATGTGGTTGCAGATTCGGAAGTGGACAGCACGAAGCATAGCCACTGCAGAGGCAGTTAGCATAGTTTTCCGGCTTCAGCATGCTGCAGTTGCTTCCGTGACCCAGATTTTGAGCCTGGCTGCAACACTTGCTCAGGGGCATTTGGCAGACTTGAGGAGTCCTTGGCGACCAGCAATTGCTACAGCTGCAACAGGAACAACTCGACAAGTTGCCCGGTGCCGAACTCAGGAATTGCTGGCCAGGATACATCATAGGTCTGCCTGTCGTTGCTCCTGTCTGGGTCATTGGTAAGAAACCGAAGGACATATGTGAAGAAGTGTTGCTGAAAGACTGCTGAAGTTGCTGCATTGTCTGATGTTGCTGCTGTGCCTCCTTACGCAGTTCCTCCTGTATTTCGATAAGCTTTTGGTTGTGCTCATTTTGTGTCTGAAGTTGATGTTGCTGCTGTATCTGCTCTGACAATTTCTGATGTTGCTGTTGCTTCTGAGAAAATGAAGAGCTGCCAGCTTTTTTCCTTGTTTCAGGAACCAATTGTGTTGATTTATTATTTAAACTATTCAGTTTTTGACGGACCTGGGCTGCGATTTGCGTATATAGTTTTGAATGACCTAATAAATGAAAAATGAAAAAAATGAATTCAAATATTTTTCGCTTTGCTTTTCATTCATTGCGTTTTAAAGTTATTTTAAATATGATAATATTACTTTTTTTTTTTTATCTTTTGACAGTTTTTGACGTTGATTTTCATACAGACGGACAGACAGACGGACAGCAAGACGGACATGGCTAGATCGACTCGGCTATTGATCCCTACAAAAAATGCATATACTTTATATGGTCGGAAACGCTGCCTTCTACCTGTTACATACTTTTCAATGAATACAATATACCTTTTTACTCTATGAGTAAGGGGTATAACTGGGTCAAATAACTGGTTATCAAATGAAGATTTTACGTTACGTATGTATTCAAGAATATTTTTGACTGTCTAGATTACCTTTCTGGGTGCTATTGTTGTTGCATGCCACACTCTTTTGGGCACAATACTGATCTGTTTGAGAGCCAGCGTGGGTGCTAATATGTGACTGTGAAGTCTGCTGTTGGACGTCGCAGGGAACTAATTGTTCTGATCTTGAATGGCCAATATCCTGTTTAACTCGATTTCGCGACAAAGCATCCTCAAGAACCACAAAGGAAGGCCTGTTCGTCAGGTCTTTGTTGCAAATTTTAACGAACCGTGGTGGAACTAAAGTTTTTTGCGATTCCACATTTATTTTATTCTCCCTCAGAGTTTTAAGTTCTTGATCATCGGCTTGGTTTGCTTGTAGATCATTGATTCCATTCGCAAAATCTTTCAGCACATCTATGCTTAATCTTTGGTTTAAAGCCTTGTCAGTCAATGTGGAATTATCACCATGTTTCCCATCTTCTGGTGTATTTGCCACATTGTCTGGTTTATGAGAACTAATTTCGATGTGACCATTAGACCCTACGGTGATAACAAAACAGCACTTTGCCAGTTTTTCTTCAGTTTGAGACTCCATTTTTGACCACGAATTTTGATGTTAATCCTGGGGTTGGGCAATTTTTAAGGCAAACGTTTCAACAGCATTTTTTTTCTTTAAAAAAAAACAACATTTTATTGCAAATTTTGACAGCAATTCCTAACGAATTGTTGTTACTAGCTTTGTGTAACATTTACTGGATAGTACGCCTTCTAACTATAAAGCTTCTTATATTAATAATCTCTACAATATTTCATAGATCACACAATTATTTCTTAAGTAAGTAGATAAAATAATAGCAAATAATGAAAGGTAATGTATAACTATTTCGAACATAAGGGGTTTACAGACCCAGCAATCAGTATATTCCAATTCAATATTGTCAAAACTTCCACTACTATTTCTGGCTTAACATGTACAAAATTGTAATTCCCCATAGCTAACCGCTTTCGGTGGTGATAAGTGGGTTAAAATCCTAGTGTGTTTCGAGGATGTTCTGCACAGAGAGCTGTGAGCTTGGCTGCAATGGCTGCAATGCAACATCCTCGGGAAAGGTGATCGCCCCTGGAAATGGATCGGCACAGGCACAGTCGGTCACAGTCACTCCACAGCAGCAGTTCAACATGAGCTATGCTCCACTGTCGATGCAGTCGACCAACGATTTGGGCAGCAAGTCCGAGGTGGAGCCACCGCGGGTGGGAATGTGCCTGGTCACCGAATGCCCGGAGGGTCTGAGGTATGCATACTGCTAGTTACCCAGATATATGCAACAAAATTTATTTCAAGTCACCACATTGTAAAAAATTAATTGTAATTAGAGCCCCAAAATTCGATGTTTTGTGTAAGAAATGGCATTTTTGGAAAGAAAATAATTCCATTTTGATACCCGTTATGTGTAGAGTAAAAGGGTATATTGTGTTCGTTGAAAAGAATGTTACGGGTGGAAAAAAGCGTTTTCGACCCATAAAGTATGTTTAAAATAATAATTTAATTGTCGTTTTAGGTCATGTTTTTGAAACTTTTGTATAGAAGGCTCAAATTTAAGGCCATTATTCCCAAATTTATATCAATTATTCCTAAAATGAAGGAACTTTAGTGTTCTAACCATATTCGTCTGTCTGTAAAAACGAGACGAGTTCTCAAAAACTATAATAAAGTGGTAAGTTCTTTCCTAAAAACCACAAATTGTGAAATTCTGCCATATCACTTTAGGTTATGATAAAGGCGAGTTGTTAAGCTTTATATGTCTACGCGGTCAATATCTATCGACTCAAACAAAAATGTTCCGAATTGAACTATTATTTTAGAACATATTAAAACAAATGTAGTTGTTCGGCAGATGGCGCCACCCGTTTGTTTTTAGGGGCATATTTGCTTTGAAATTAAAAAACATAGTAACGGGTATTACTTCTTGTTTTTGATCATAACAGGGATTTAGTGGGATTATCAAAAATTAGTAGATAGAGTTTATTATAAATATGAATACCCATTTATTCTAAATCTGGTTGTCACTATTTATGTGACTACCCCTATTACTATATCTAAATAAGGACTTTATGAGGGTTTAAATATTCTCTCAACAGTTCAGTATATATATCAAATTTTTCAAAAATTTCTATACATCATCTCACCTGTCGTCCTTTGTAGCATTGACTGCAACGTGCCCCTGCCCAGTTCCTTTAATTTGGATGAGTACAATAAACAGCTGATCTGCTCCTGCTGTTCACAGTGCAATGGGGGATGCTTGGATACCTACCGCTCGCCACAAGCGGTGACAGCCTGTCCAAATCCCATTACCAATTCCAATCCAAACCCCATCCAGACGCCGCCTGCTTGCAGTTTTCAGTGCCAGTGCTGTCCATTCGGAGGAGCTTGTCCTGCCCACGATTCGCAGTCCGCTCCCAAGGCTCAAGTATGTCCTTTGCCGAAACCACCAAGGACTAATCGACCGGAACAGGGAATGGCAATGGCTCAAACGATTTCAGCACCTGCTGCAATGCCGCAGATCTTCTGCCTTACAGGACCCACTTCGGAAGGCAGCATCCAACAGCCGGATCAGCAGCCCGTTTACTTTTGCAGCCTGATGCCAGTGGTGGTCCCGATGGCTCCATCGCAGCAGCCGCCGCAGCAGCAGCTGATGACGAGTCCGGCTCAGGACTCGCAGCTGCCGCCGCAGCAGCTGGTGCGGTACGACCTGCCCTATTCCCATTCCAGATCCTGTTGCCAACTCCAGCTCCAGACGCCCCTTTCCTTCCAGCTCTTTGCGCCCACGGTTAGGTTTTGCGAACCGCCAAGTTCAAGTCCTGTGAAGGGGGCGCATCCACCCGATCCACAGGGAACTCCATCGCCACCATCACCACCACCACCAGCAACACCAGTACCAGCAGCACAGGCACCAGTAGCAACATCTTCGTCCTCCGACAGATTGCCCAGAGCTCGTTCGGTCAGCCCGAAACGTAGCCGATCCTGCCTCCGAAGTAAGGATCTGTGGGCCAGTGGTGGCCCCACCGCCAGCGCCGCCCCCAGCCACGCCCCCTACCCCTCGCCCGCTCAGCATGGAGCGGGGAATGTGTGCATGAAGTGCGGCCACTGCTGGCACTGCCCGCGCTGCAACTGCTCAAATTGCTTCTGGCATCCGGGTTTGGGGAGAACGCCCCCCAGGGACACTAGATAGGAACAACATATAGTTTATTTATGGGTACAAATTATATTTTCAGTTTAATTTTATTAAAACTATATGCACTAGTTGCTGAAGTCCCTGAAACTCCATTAAACGATTGCTATCTATTTATCGTTAAGTCCATCAAAGTTTGTACACTCAGGCAACAATGATCTCATAAAAAAAAAACAAGTAAGTTCACCTGGATAACTTATACTTGGTCCTTTTAAAAGCGAAATAATATACTTTAGTCCCGAAAACTTGTAATTTTTGTTTCTTACAAGTAAGCGGTTATAACATTTCTTCAATTCAGAACTATAAAAATATCAATTAAAAAACAAAATTTAAATGCTGTTTTTTCCTAATCTAAGAACAGAACGGTCTCAACTTTAAAGAACAAATGATAGCTAATTACCCTTTGAATTTGTTTCAAAAAGAAAATGCTGTCATTCATTAAACATAGTTTTACTCGACTTAAGACCAAAAAGTTATATTTCTGAAATTTTCTTTTAAAAATTATTTTACTTAATGTTATTATTTAATGATTAAGATTTTATTAATTATTAGAAGTACAAAATTAATAATTTATTAAATATATACATTTTTTTTCAAACTTCCGATTTACGACAGTCTTAAAAATGCTATTGACTTCATACCTGTCTTACTTGACAACAAAAGTCTATTTTCTATTGAATAAATATAAAAAAAATGGTATTTAATTCATACGGTATAAGCATTCTAATGTTCTGTATTTTTTTTTTTTAATAATCGACTTCATTTATAAACTAATTGTCTTAATTTAAGAAAATGGTCTTTAAAAAAAAAACAGAACATACGAATTTCGGTCCTAGCTTTTCGTGGTATTTATTTTTCTGATTGTAGAAAAACATGATTAAACGTCTTTATATGTGAATTAGGTGCACTAGGATTCGAAAACTTAACAATTTTTTTCTTTAAAATTAATTTACTTTATAATCACTTTATAGCAAACAACTTAACATAAATGTGAAATTCCTGTTGTTTGATCTAAAAGTTAAGTTTATGCACTCTCAAACCATTTCCACCAAAATCACAAAAAACCTCTTAGAACTATTAAAAACAAGTGTAATAATAACTATTATTATTATTAATTTTAATTGACAGTTCAATTATCTCTCAGCATGCATATTCATAAAGTTAGCCACAAAATTAGTCATGATAGAGGTGATTCCTATTGGTTCGCTTCTCGGGTCATGAGTTTGTGCTGCTGCGGGTTGAATGATTTGTGTGTTATCCTGAGTGTGCATGACCTGAGCTGCAGCTGGTGGCAAAGGGGGTCTCATTTGGACAGCATATGGATCTGACCTTGGGTCGGCAGCTGGACGACGATGTTTCACCTTTCTGGACTTTGAACTGGCTTCCATTAGGATCCTGCTGTTGGACTGGCAATATGGAGGCGGTGGCGGCAGCATTAGTCTTCTCTGCATTTCAATGGCTTGACTTTGAGTCTCTGCCGGATTGAAATGCTGCTGATCGTGATAGGCTTGTATGCGCTGTTGATATGCCATCGATTCCTGATAGCCAAGTGGATATATATAAGGTGGCGGATCGTACAGAAACGAATGTTGCTGCACATATGTGTGTTGCTCTTGGTTTGGCTGGGATTCGTGGTTGTGCGGATGATGCATAAAATGCTGAGATTGCTGTTGCACCAGCAATTGTTGTTGTTGCTGCTGTTGCTGCTGCTGCTGCTGCTGTTGCTGCCAGGACCAGGCTAATGCCTTCTCATTCTGCTGCCGTTGCTGATCAGCAATTCGCAGCTCCAGGGTACGGAGATCCGATCTCAGTTGTCGCTGCAGCTGCTCCTTGTCCAGCCGCAGTTTTTCCTCCATCTTTCTGATTTGCTCCATTTTGAGCAGAAACAATCGCTTCTCCTCCTCATGCTGGCGCTCACAGTTCAGTCGCTCGTCCAGGAGCTTCTTCAGGGATCTGCCCATCAGACGCAGTTGCTCCTCTTCCCGGCACTTGATGCGCTGATACATGGCCCTCATTTGCTGCAACTTGTCCTCGGCCTCGAGCTGATGTTGCTGGTAAATGGACTCCTGTTGCTGCTGGCTGGATGCCTGATTGAGTTGCTGGTACACATATTGCTGCTGAATGTGCAATTGCTGTTGCTGGTGGAATGTCTGATCTGCATAGGAGTGGTTCCACTGATGACTAAGCTCATTGGCCATGGAAGTCTCTGCATGCTGGGGTTGTCTGATGTTTTGATTGACTCGATCGACGGCGTTGTTATTGCAGCTGTGGGATTGACAAATTTCCGCGTTGAGCAAATTTGGTTGGACAATGTGATGTATTAACTGCTGACGAAGTGCTGAATTTGTTGTCTGCTCGGAATCACCAGAGGGTTCTGATATTGCCGGCGTTAAATCATTAACTGACTCTTCAAAAACTTGCTGGGGGACTGGATCTTCGTGGCTTGACTCAATCTGGGGATATGGACTACTGATTGCATGCAGTCGCTGCAACGGAGGTTCTATAGTTGATGGCTGCTCAGAATTTGCTAGTTCTTGATTATGTTCCTCTTGATTCTGCACTTGATCAAGTTCATTTCCGCCTTCTGAGGAATCTACATTATTCACCTCACAATAGCCCACTTGAATATCCGGCTCACTTTTGGGTTTCCACGGCTTCCAGGGTCCCATCTTAGAGTCCAGGACCTCTTGATCTGGATAGTGCCAGCATAAATAGGGATAATGCTGATGTTTTGTGCTGCTGGACATAATCACACTTTGGCGCTGACTTTGAAGGATTTTTCGGTTCTCTTCCTCCGAGGCATTGTTGGCATCGACTTCCTTTTTCACCAGATCGTATAAAGAAATGCTGGTTTCTTCATCGTCGGGAAGTGGAGGCTTCACTGCCGTTTCTGCCCTCAAATCGGGCATGCTTAGGGGCAAGTCCTTTGGATTTTGAAATCCTTCGAGTGGCTCCTCAATGAACTCTTCCTGTTTGACGTTCGCAAGGAAATCGTTGGATTCAGACCCATCTTCGGGTTGAGAGTTGAAGTGCGGATGACTATCCACCCGGCCTTCCTTCATTTGCTTGGCCACGAATCGGGGTCGACCGGATCCCACGGGGAATCTCAACATACGCAGGTGGTATTCCCGATGCTTGGCGTATCTACTACGAGTCCTCGTCCGCTGCTGAAGCTCACTGCGAGCGAGTTCTTTGGGTATGAAGAGCAGTTCGTTGGAATACACACTTTCTCTGCGCTTTTTTGTTTCGGCTCTAGGAACATACAATTTCCAATTTAAATTCACGAAAAATGAAACATTTTTGATAAAGCTTACATGGACAGTGAGTGCCTTTCCTCTAGAACAAGAGGTCTAGTTGTGTCTTCCTTTGTGGGACTACTTTCGTCTGGTTGGTTTTTCTTCAGCTCCTTTGGCTCGGCGATTTTCACTTCTTGTTTGGAATCTTTCTGTTTATTCGGGCACTCAGGATTCAAATCTATCACTTGTTCATGTTCATGTGTTCCAAGCAAATTTTCCAGATTTCTATTGGGAAGAAGATAAAATGATCAAAATACGGAATTGATATACTAATTATAATTTTTAATCATACCCCACGTTGGATTCCTGGTGCTCACTCGCCGGTTGGGTCCCAGATTCAGACAGAAACTCTGATTCTGATTCGGACACGACCATGTCGTGCCAAGAACTGCCAGCAGGCAGCTATCCGTTTCCTAATTATAAATGGAATAATGTGTATACAAAGGCCTAGTTGTTGTTAGGCTGTGCTATCGAATGCCAGGTTCAGATTGCGCGGAGTTAGCTTTTATTGACTTGGGTCAAAAATGCGTTACTGCAAATAGAAAATGGAGACGAAAATTGAGTATACATGGGAAAAGTTTAAGGTAAATAAAAATTAAGATTTATAGTTAAAAAAAATATAAATGCCTTGAAGCATAATAAAAAATCTGTTATTTTCTAATATATTGTTTTAAAGAGCTCTTGACTTATAATGAAATTTTTAAATGAAATGAAATTTTATTTTATTGTATTAAATATAAAAGATCCATTTATTTTGATAAAATTTTAATTAGCATAAAGACCGTGGAAAATATTACAGAAGGAGGCGTTTAAAATGTAAAATGCAGAAAATATTTATAATATTAAGTTAGACCGATTGTATATTTTTTTTTAAACTATTCCATTAACTAATTATATGAAATCTTTAGTATATAGTAAAAAAATTACACTTTTTTGCTGTGCAAGCTTACTCGGCCTCTGTCCAATCAATTTGAAATGAATCCAATTTGCAGATATCACACAGCTCAGCATAATTTAGATACATTTGTAAACAGAGATCGAATTTATCAATAGAAACAAATCTCCATTAGTCGGCAACCCCTTTCCACAGGATTTCGCGGTGGTTTTGATTTCGTGTTTAGGCTCCTCGGCGTCGCGACGAAATTCAATTCCGGCGCGGCGGAAAAGTGCGCAAGTGTTGAGTTGCACATCCGAAATGTGAATGAATGCAAATGAATTTGCTAATAATAATACGAGAATTACATGGCCCGCAGGCCGATAAGAGCGCCAGTCCCTGGCGAGGTCCTGACCGGCAATTATGGGGCATTGAAGGGGTTTCCCCAACAGATATCGCTGGTGCCGAACCCACCCCTTGGTAGTTCTGACCGTCCACATAACCTGGGTCAACCTGGTCGGACACTAAGTACACTAAGGACACGTCAGCGGCGCTCATGTGACGTGGCCACATACAATTCCCTCACCTATAATTGGAATGGTAGCTTTATTTTTATATGCCAGACTGCCTCAAATGCCAGTGCATATCGTTCAGATATCTATTGGTAGCAAAGGGAGTTGTATGATACACTGTCTGCGTTTTAATTGCCTTTATAATTGCAATTGCAGTTTCAGCTTATTGTTCCTTACCAGCTTGCAAAGCTTGGTAATGGTACAAGCCGTAAACATGTTCGTGCTGAAAGTTGCTAACATTTATCCATGGAACATGTTTTTCTTTTTGGTTAAACTTAACTTCTGAAATATATTAAATTTGTTTTCTTGCTTTCTAACATACATTCATTTCCAGCCCTTTTTAAATGGTAAAGAGCAACTAAAAATTCTGATACCTAATGAGCCCTCTCATCTCAAATTTGTTTTTAATATTACTTTTAAATAAGAGTAAAATCAAAATTTGTAGAGTAACTCAAATTTTGTTTAAAATTAATTTTTATTTAGACTTGTTGTACCCAATATTCTTCATTTTGAGTGTTAAAATAAACTGGAGAGGTCTATAAAAATAATTATCGCTCATTGACCAAAACAAATGTTTTTTTTTTCTTGAAGCATGTACTCCGTTTTTAAATGATTTAAATGATAAATGATTGTTGGACCATTTTTGAATTTCGATTTCAAGTGTTGGCGCGCATGTTGGTTCTTTCGAACGAATGAACAAAAGAACCGGTTCCACCGATACAATTGGCAAGAGTTATCGCCGTATGGTATTTTTTAGTGCATTGCTGGTAGCAAAAAGACGTACAAAACAAAAACAAGCGAATAAAAACATAAATTCCGGACTGAAATGGATAAACTGACGACAATTAGCGCAACACTGTTCATGGCGGCCGATGTGTTTGCGATAGTGAGCCTGGCATTGCCGGATTGGATCATCACGGAGTCGGGAACGGGTAAAAGGCGGAGAACACGGAAGTATCTAGTGCGGGATGTATCTCAAATGTTGGATGTTGTTGTTCCAGGTGACATTCGACTGGGGCTGATGTGGACCTGCATGACGCTATATAACCGGCCCCAGGTGTGCTACACCCCCGACCTGCAGCCGGAGTGGCTGATCGCCTTGATCTGCATCTTCGTGGGCTGCATCTGCGTGACCACCACCGTGATCCTGCTGGCCTCGTCGTCCTGCAATCGCAATGTGATTCCCTATGCCCGCTGGGTGGGATTCACCGCCATGGTGCTGTTTTGCATGGCGGCCGTCGTCTTCCCGCTGGGATTCCATGTCGAGGAGATCGGCGGACAGGCCTACCAGCTGCCCAACACCTTTAAGATCGGCATATCCTACATCATGTTCGTCCTGGCCCTCTGGATCACCGTGGTCTCCGAGCTCTTCGCCGGCAAGGTCTGCCTACCGCATTTCTAGAGACGCGACCACGGCATCGCTAGATTCCTAGTTTTCTTTGCAGTTTGCTCTGTGATTTGTTATACCTTTTGTTTCTCCCTGATTTTTCTCGCTCTCAATCAGTAGAGTCGAGACCCAACTCCATATCTTAGTTATTGTAAGTCCTGTTAGTGAAATGTCGCGCATATGTGCTATATCATGTGCTATCAGGCTCCCAAGATGATCAACATCATCCTTATAAATTAAAGCTATTCCCCTTCATATTCTTTTGAATATTGTAAGTGTTAAGATCACTTTTATAAACCTTATTTTCAAACTATTTTTAGAAACAATATGATTTAAGGATTGCAGCTCAAAAACATTGAATCTGTGTGTAAAAAATCTCTTAAAATAAGCGTAGTTTTGTAACCATTTAGTTAGTACAATTTTGTTAATATAATATACACTGAAGAAACATTTATTTGTTGGGCTTACTTTTTAATGAGCAAAACTTCCGAGCGATTAAGTTTTTTTTTGGCCAGAAACAAAATTCTTTATTGACTTAATTTTGATCATATATTTTTGTTTGCAAGTAATGTTTCACCGAACTCTCCAATTGCCTAGGAAAATCAAGAATCATCAAACTGCCAATAGAAGTAAGCGACCATTTAGTAAGTTATATTTTTTAAACAAGTATTCATTTAGTATGACAACAGCGAAAACAGGTATATTTTGGAATGAATCGTTCCGAATTTCAAATCGAAATGTTTGTAACAAGATAATTTTTTAATGATAATTAATTTTAAATCGAAATTTACACAATTGTATAAGAACACTTAATTTATTTTTTAAATAGTAAAAGTCCATGTGTAAATTGTAATTGAACTTACACGACGAAGACACAAAAAACATGTGATCTGTGAACTCGGATTTCTGCGTTAGGGAGTATTTCAAAGTATTCCAACAAAATAACTAAAATCTTATGGTTCTTGCAGGCTTTTATTAAGTTAAATTACACCAGCGAAACACTTGTTTTTCCCACAGAAAAAAAAGGAGAAAGTCCAAGCGAGGAACTTGAAAATCTCGAGACACTGTCGTTTGGAAGGCCGCGACGGCAACTGAAAGTCAAGGCAGACTCGAGTTGGGACATCGACGGAATATCGGGGTCTGCGCATGCGTTGTGTTTGTGTACTTTTGGCCATCCGAGATCCGAGAATGCTGACCAAGCTCCATGACGAACCGATTCTAACAAGGGCTGCGACATTCGAATCGAATTCTGCTGGTTGGAGAACACTGCTGACCCCAGCAGCATTCAAGATCGGCCTGGCACGTTATCGTTTCTGCATTGCTTACAAAATTTTGTTTGTAAACTGAGATCCCAGGCCGAAGCACTTCACAAATTCTTTCTCACCAGACGACCACATAAACAAACTTCTTATAATTTTCAAAACACTGCTACTTGATATTCAATTAAAACCTAAAGATCGAATTATTTGCAATTCAAGAGCATTATGACATAAAATATAACATTTCCAAAAAAAAAGTGTATCTAAAATATATATTTTGTGTTTAAACGGAAGTATTTTTTCTCCTTATCTTTGTCCTCAGTCTGAAGTCCAATTTTATATTTGGAGATGGATCAAATATCTTAGGATAAGAGTTCAAAGAGTATTACTTACAGAGATCTGAGAACCATTTAGATTTATTAAGAATCATACACTTTCATTGAGTACATCATAATATTTTATTGTTTTCCTTTATTAATTATTTAATAAAAACCAATTAAATTGTTTAATAATATCAAATATTGTTCAATGAACCTACTTTAAGAACTTCTGCAGCGCGTTCAGAGAGTGCCTATAGACATTTTATTTCTTTATTGTATTCCAGCATAGATTTTCATATTCAGTTTTCAAATTTAGAGAGTTCGATTGAAAACCATTGGGGCTACAATTTGCACATTTAAGCAGGTCAGTTTTGATCGGAGGTATTGTGTAATTTGTTGGGATATATTAGGTACACAGATGCGGTTGTTGAGCTTAGAATTGCCTTAAAAAGTAGTTCGCTTTGGTGGCTTTTATCTTATAAAGTTATATACATATATCAAAATATGATGTAGAGAATAGTTTAATAACAGTACAAAACATTTGAGTAAAAAAATATATAGAATTTTAATTGATTCTTTATACAGAATTTAACTAGTGTCTTACCAAAAAGGTATTAGAATTATAACAAATTCATTTATATAGTGCTCAAAAAGGAAAGGAAATCGACAAAAAAAAAAATTTCTTGAGAGCCTCAGATAAGAATTTAACAGAGCAGTTAAAAAATTGATAGATAGATATGCTTTTTAGCTATATTTATTTATTGGGTGGTTTTTGGGCTAAGGTGGGCTTTTTGCATTTTTTCGTCTATCATAAGTGTAATTCGAATCGTATATAATTATTCGCTGTTTAAGTGATGGCTACGCATAAGATTAGCTAACAAATTGTACGTAATAGTCAATAACATTTAAATTCTACTAACTAACTAAAAAACAAATTGTTTGCTAACAAATACTTAACATGTGCGTGTGATGAGCAACGTACCTTAAATGCTTGCAAATTCATTACAACTAAAATGAAAAGCTCAAAATAAATAAGAAGATGCTTTGAAGTGACTTTTGGCCTACGCTACGTGTACATGATCATAAATATCCATTAAATAGTATCAACAGCAACTGGGTGATTTACAATTTCCCATCGAAAGGTGTCTTTACAAAGTAGGTGACTAGATTTCCCTTCCCCTTCACATAAGTGAGGCCTCGGCACTCGCACTCATAGCCGGCTGCCATCAATATCTTTGCCGTGTTTTCCGTCGTCTGTGGAGAGAAAAATGTATAAGGTTAATTTTTGGGGTTTTCATACGCGATTTTCTGTAAGACTACTTTTATATAAAACTGTTTTCTAAAATTAATTTTGTAATAAAAGAAAAGCGATCCCATTATCAAATGCCTATGGACACTATGAATTCATAAATAGAGCAATAGCTTCTACTAACGATAACAATTGTTCTTTAAACTATATGTTTGCATTTTGCTCTAACTTAACTTGTTGCTGCCTTTAAATACTGTTTGCTTTGTTATATAAAATCTGTCTAGGTAAGAGCAAAAACTTTCACTCATCTTTCATTGCAATTCAGCTCCTCATTTGTACACCAAAACGGATTTCAGGTATACAACTAAAATAGCAAGCCGCCATGAATTTCAGAACCCCGCCATAAAAAATCAACTTTTAAAAATTATAAATTTCTTGTTCTTGTAAAGGTAAAACGCACTCTTACTTTGCAAAATTTTCTGAACACAAGAAAAGAGCTTCAAAAATGTAAAAACCTTGCAAAAAGTTTATTTCTTTGGCGAATTTCAAAATTTGACTGTTATTTGAAGTTTCTAGAAAAAAAGTATTTAAAAAGGTTTCCTAAGCTTTTGAAAGTTTTTTGAACTCCATTTTGGGGATCTCCAGGATCCAGAACTCACCTGAAGTCGACCCATCACGCCGCAGGAGTCCATGCGTGAGGCCACATTCACAGTATTACTCCAGATATCGTATTGCGGCTTCTGGGCACCAATCACGCCGGCAATCACCGGACCGTGATTGAGTCCTATGCGGAGGCGGAATCGTTGGAAGGACTCGCGATTAATCGAATCCAATATGGACATCAAAGCAATCGCAAACTCGACCAATATGACCACGTTGTGTTCCTCCGTTCGCTTCTCGTCCTTTTGGGGGGACACAAAAAAGGAGAACTGCGTTAGTCCCGATTCGATTTAGTCCTCATTGCCCTCTTCCTAGAATCCCAGCTAATCCCAACCTCCGCCCCTGCCACCGCCCCAATTCGACCCTCATTTGGCGACCCTTTTTTTTATTGGTCTCTCCTTGGCCTTTGTTGAGCCAATGTGATTTGATTTCCTCTTTGTTTGGTAGTTGTAAAAATTTAATTAAAGTGCTAAGCAGCGATTAAAAGGCATTTGAACAGTAAATAACATTCGGTCGATTGGAATTTATTGGGGGAAAACTGGGGAAAAGGTTGGAATTTAAACTGAATTTTGGCATTTTTTGCTGGTTTGAGTTGGAAACATTTAATTTGAAGCTGATGGGTTCTAATAATGATAGCAAATCTCTCATCGTTTCGAACAGAGAATGTGACAACTTTAAGCAGACAAATTTAAAGACTTACCGCAAAACTACGTGACTAGATTGAGCAATCAAGTCAGGTTTTAACAATGTTGTTATTTACAGGATTAGTGAAAGCATTGGAAAGATATAAATTAGACAAGATAGACACAGACATTATAGAATAAGACTCCAGAAAATGCAAATAAAAACCACTTACCGTAGCGCCGTCCTCTTTTCCGGGCCTCAGTCCCGAAGCACACATGTATGTGCTGGCGATGGTTTTAATCTTCTCGATTCCACTGAACTTTGGTTTCAACAGTAACTGCAAATAAACATGTATTAAGCTTTACTATAAGTCTTAAAGCAATTTTTAAAACAAATGTTTGTCTAAAGTATTTAAAAAAATAAAAAAAAAATAATAAGACAAATTACAAATTATTTTCGTCTCAGATTAAAGTTAAAAAACTATTTCCAGCTAGCTACATTAGTTATTTTAACAGCTTAAATCGGAATGTATCAAAACAGTATTATATTATAATTATTATCGAATAATAACATTCAAGAGTATTTAGTTCTCATTCAAAGCTCAAAAAATAAAACTTATGTGGTTTAAGAAAGGCCATAGACTACAGTTTCATCCCTTAACTATTGAAATATAAGTATAAAGTATAGGGGTTATATTATAAGGTTTTGAACTAATGCTTATAGTAGTTCATTTTCAAGACAGACTTATTAAGTAATAAACTTTCAGTTTATTTTTTGTGTGTAGGTATTTAAGTGATTTTCTACATTAAAAGATATAATAAACATACCTTATCGAAATCACAGATGATTTCGTTCAACAGGCGCAGGCACTCCAGACCCTGTTTGTTGACATCCGTCTCGTCGTAGAACTCCTTGTAGTTGGGAATGGAGGCGAACATCACGGCCACGCAGGAGTAGCTCTCGTGGTAGAGTTCCGTGGAGCGTTCCAGGTGCAGGAAGTGCGTGGCCACGTGGGCCGGCAGGATGTTCTCCAGCAGAATCTAAAAATAAAGCACAATTTCCCTTAGCATCGAATTGCTTTCATGCATTCAAGTATTATTCATGCCTTGTTAATGCCTCGCATGGTTTCGACCTCCTCCTGTTCCACCTTTAGCTTGGCCTTCCACAGGAAATCGGTGCGGGCCACATATTCACCCTGGCGATCCAGAGTGTGCAGCACCACAATAATTACCAGGAGCAACAGGAATCCCTTGATCTCGAGCGGTAAGCTATGAAAGAAAATTAGTACCATTTTAGTTTTTTTAAATAGTGCCCTGTTTAAGACTACAAATAACATTGTGCAACAGCCTTAAAATTGGTGCGACTATATAGGTCTTATGAATTTCGGTGTGCTGAACACGACCTCATCCTTGGAATTTATCCACCACCCTCAGTTTTTGAGAAAAATGATCTCTAAGAGCCAAAAAGGTCGATTTTACGGGTAGTTCGGTTCTAAGTTTACTGCCTGAACTTTTGATGATTTTGCTATAGTGCAACTAACTGGCAACTAATTTTTTATTTAAAAAAAGAATGCAAACACATTAAAAGATCTAATGTGTACCACCAAACGGTGGTCCCTAAAAGTAGGCAATGCATTTTTTAATCGACCTCAATTTGTTGCACAATGTAATTATATGATTTTAAAGAATTAGTATTCTTTTTTATAAAACTTTATTTATATGAGCGTTTATCTTCAAATATTTGGAGTTTTACAAAAATGTTTTTTATTGTATGTTAATTGTGGTGTAACATTTTTGTGTTTAAGTTTTTAGTTTTTAAATAATCAAGTTAGAAATTAACGCTTCATCAAACAAATTCGGTTGTCGCTTCTTAAATCTAAAATTTAAATCTAAAATCTCTCTTTATTTTAACAATTTGCAAGTATATTTTGCCATAGACATGTTAACTTACCCATTGTCGATGTATACCAGGTTATATTTCACAAACAAATCGCTGTAGCCGAGTACTGTGACCTGTGCAATCACAGCTACCAGCATGGCAATTAACTTGAGGATAAAACCAGATCGAAGAAAGGCCGAAATTGCAGCCAGACTAATGGCGCAGCAATATAGAAAAACGGGCGCAATGGGCAAGGCATGGGTCATTTTAAACGGCTGCATATCCTCCATATCCTCCAGGGTGGAATTCAGAAATTCGAGCGAAGAATTGCTGTACCAAAAGGTGCCATTAGATGGTGGGTCATTGCGTACTCCGTCTGGTACTGAGAAGTTGATCTAAAAAAGAAATTTTAAGCTTTTAATATTAGTGAATGAAATGTCCAGTCTACGTCACACAAAAAATGTATATCTTTTAACACTGCGATTTTATTTATTATTGTTTAATAGGGATTATATAAAAAATTGTATATTGTATTCGGGACACACAACTTTTTATTTAATTTTATACAGCAAACCTTTATTGTTTGCTCCTTATTGAAATACATTAATAATTTAAGCTTTTTTATGTCCAACCATTTCTGTTGTAGTCACGTAACAATTACACAAGATTTACAAGATTTCGTTTTATATATATTTGACCAACAAAATAAGAAAAATATATATTAATAAAATGCAATACAGTTGGTTGTTATAGTGAGCTTTTGTTGGACTCACCACACTGAACACGGCGCAGGACGAGATGAGGATGTTGACTATGACGAACATGGCCAGCCGCAGGTAGCGACTGCTGGCCACCACCTGACCAGGACCATTTCGCTCCGTCGCCGAGGCATGGACATCCGGCACGGACATGTTGCTCAGGTAGAGGAACAGGGCCAAAGACACAAAGCTGGCCAAAAGGGATCCAAGGAGGGCCAGGTTCCTGTTTTTTTTTTTTTTTTTTTGGGGGAAGAAGCCAAAGGTAAGACAATGGGCTCGTTAATGCGAGTTGATCTCACCTACAATTTGATTACAATCAATTGGACGATGGCCAGCGAGAGGAAGAGGACGAAGGCGCATATCAGGTCGAACCGGAAGTGCGTGTCCGGCTGGGCACGGTACATTCCCTCCCGGGGCGTATTGCGGTACCACATGGTGAACGGCTTCAGCTCCGTGGGCGGTCCGAAGAAATTAAAATTGAAACATTTACGCTCGGGCGGCAGTAAATTTGATTCAATCATGGCGATGCTCTGCGGCCAGAAAAGGGTGGAGAAATCGAAAAGGATACATAATAATAGAGTTGCTTGCTGGAGCATAAATTTATTACAGTATACACTGTGTATATGCTAAGCTTTAAAAATTTACATACATTAAAACAATTATTTTATTAGAACAGGTGTTAAAAAGGGTGCTTGCCATATGTACCATAAAACAAAGTAGTTTTGGTGGGCCACATATACCTTTTCAAAATAAATTTTAAATAAAAACCTTGCACCCTTCCAACATTATAAAAATGTTGCTGTCCTCTATTGATTATTTCAATTTTTTTTTAAATGAAAGTCAAATTCTAAGAAAGCAAAATAAATTCAATTTAAAGAATTTAAACCCATTTTAACGTGCAAATATTTTAGTGAAGGTGTCAGAAACAAAAATCTGTTTAATCTTTAAACAAAAAGAATATAAAGTTTAAATTTAAATTTAATTTATATATACACGTTACGTTGCATATAATAGATATCTACTGTATTGAGTTTACAGCAAGCAAGCAACATAAGAAAATTGTCTGCCTAGCCCTCTCAAATTTGCTTATGTTTCCTAGTCAATTTAATTTTGTATTCCAGACCCTAGACTGCTGTGAAATAACCCTCTTTTCGAACTGTTTTGGTATCAACTCACCGCCAGTCCGATGTTCTTCACTAGTTTGGATTCGGCAATATTGGCAAACGGTCGATCTGCCCCCCAGCACTCCACATATTTGGTCATCTTCGATGAAGGACGATTGCGTGTGACATGACCTGAAAGGGTTCAATATAAAATTAAAGTTTAGTTCAGTGACCATGTCGCAAAAGTTGCTTAGATAAATAAAATATTAAACATATATGGCTAAATGGCATTTCATGAATAAATGGAATATCTGTAACCCAATCTTGCTCAATAATTAACGAGTTGAAATCAAATTGTAATTGCGTAAAAATTACCTGATATCTAATCTCAAAGTTAAAAAATAGTAGCGCAATACTTTCCTATGAAAATAAATGTTTAACTACCTAATCAATTTATGAACAGTGTCTGGAATTGATTATTTGAGTTTAGTAGCACAAACTAGTGATAAAATCGATAAATACATGAAATAAGAGTTCCCACAGTTTATGTCTCAAGTTAAACAACTTACAAAGTCACAATTTGGAAGTAGTTTAAGTACCATACAACATTGTGATAGTTTTTATATGAGTAGCTAAGATATTCCAAATGTCTGAAGAATTTTACGACTACTTTTCGGTCCAGTAAGATACCATTAATAAGGAAAAATCTCTCCCAAATCACTTGGCTCAAAACACTTCAAAAGCTGCGGAGTTTTTACAGATGAGCTATAATAGTTGGGGGGCCAGCCAGACAAGCTCATTAAAAGTCACCCATTCGCATTAAAAATGGCATTAAAGTGACTTTGCCACATGCCGCACATGCCCTACTCGCTGTCCTTGGCAAATTAAAACTCATAAACCAACACAAAAACCTCATGGCTCCGCGTGCAGTAGCCGAATAACCCAACCCCAACCTAAACCAAAAAGTATTCTACTAAAAATATACCCAGCTGGCTGTCAAAGGAGCTTAATTGCCCCTGGTTCTTCTGGTTCTGGTCCACGAACCTCGGTCCATGGCTAAAGTTTTCACAAAGGCCAATCCGCAAACAAATGCAAGCCTGCGATAAATTTACGATGCAAAAGTTGCCCTGCCAGCGATAAAATTATGCATAACCTGAACCTGAGCTCATTTGTGAAAGTGATTTTCAACTGTTGCGTTTTACGAGGGGGCAGTGAGTGAGTCCACCAACTTACCCGCATGACTGCGGAAACTTTCGCCACTGTGAATGGACAGCTTGCGTCCCTCGATGAAGGCTCCGGAGGAGCGGCGTCTGTCGGCGAAGGACATCAGACCTGGTGGACAGAGGTGGGAGGCATTAAGGGGGGTTCACATAAATAAAGACCTTCGCCGGCAACACCGAAGTGTAAATGCCCATTACAGGTTGTGATTGATGGCATGCGGATGAACGCTTGCGGGCGAACTACTATTTAAAAGGATAATAATGGCAATTACTGGGAGCAACAAGCATGAAATTGAATATGAGTTTTTTGCGTGCAATTTTTAAGGAAAATTAAATTAAAGGGGTTTGCTTAACTTAAATTCAAAATATTCGTATCGTTTAAAAGATAAGGAGGATTGTAAAGCCATTAGCTATTTCGATTAAAACGATTTAAAAATTTAATCAATTATTTTTCTGTCCAAGCAGATTCATATACGAAAGACAGTTTTCCATAATTTGTATTTTGTTTCGCTGAACTTAAATTCATAATAAACTTTATAAAGATTAAAGCGATTCTAAGCCATTATCTATTTTGATTAAAATGGTTTAGGAATTAAAAACTTTTTTTTTTCTGCCTAAATAAAGTCAAATATAAAATTTATAAACAATTTATAAAAACTCCGTAAAAGTTAAAAATTCAAAACTAACAATAGTTAAATTGATAAAATTAACAGGCGAACTACTATTTAAATAAATAAACATGCATGAAAATTAATAGCAGTTTTACATGTATTTTTAACAAAAATAGAATTAAAGTGCTCACAGACAAGAAAACTAAAAAAGATCAAAAAGAGATGCACACAAATTTCAGAGATTATTTTTAATCTCTTATGCTTCTAGTCAAATAAAATAGTTTGGTAGTTTTGAATCAAAGGGGTCTGCTCTACATAAATTTAAAAATGCCTTACCACAAACTATAAAACATAAAACCGATTAAAAGAAGTTATCTGCAAATCTAATATTGAGTTTACTTAAAAGAAGTACTTTTTTTTAAACAAATTTCTGCATATTTATTTATAGTTCAAATTTTTTTTAAGCTTTTAAACTTCATTTAATTATATTGATGGTTAAGTACTGTTGCAATGCAGTTTAAGTAGTTTTTTTATGAGCTAAGAAAGCATACTTTCACCCAATGTGCACCCAGTTCTCACCTTGAACGGACAACTTCCGGCGTGATCGCTCCGGGGCCTCGGCCACCGTGAGGCTGTTGTTTCCGGAGGAGACTGCTCCGGCGGGGGCGGCAGTGGTGGGCGTGACACTGGCTGGATTCGAAGATGGTGCTGGGGTGCCGCTATTCGATATGCCGCTCTCCGAACCGCTAATGCTGAGCAGATCCTCGGCGGGCAGGGAGAGGGCAGTGGACTTGGCCGCCGACTCCGAGGCGGCGGAATCGCCACTGCCGCGATGGGCGCCGTTGGCCTTGACCTCCTGGCCGTCCTTGTGGTCCGGATCCTTGACCATCAGCGGTTCGGTTACCGCGGTGGCCTCGTCGGCCTCGTCCTCCTCCTCGGACAACTCCTTAATGGACATAGAGGCGGCGGAGGCAAGGGGAGCGTGTAGGGGAACCTCTTGGCTGTTCGTCGAAGTGGGTGACATCTTCTCGTCGACAAGTAGAGGAGGTGGATCCACCGTAACGGGGAGTAGATTATCGGTGACATCAGCTGCCTCATGGGAGTGTTCCAACTCCTTGAGCTCCTTCGTCTCCTCCGTGGGACTGGGATCGTTGTGCTCGATGCACTCCACCACTCGCGGAACGCTGTAGGTGTAGGCCGGCTTGGGTGGCACTATGAGATACGTTTCTATCTTGTGATCCGCCAGATACGCATCTCGATTTCCACCCTCGCCCTGCTCAACCTCGAACTTTTCACCCAGGAAGTCCAAAGTCTGTTTGGTGATGTGAACGCGCCTGCCGGAGAAACGTACTCATGAGAAATGATGATGAATGCTTGTGGGCCGACATGTCGTATGAGCAATCTACCTTAAAGCGCATTTCATACGTTTTCACACTCACACAATTACAGAGAAATAAAAGATCTATGTTATAATGATGTTTTTTCGGAAAGTGTATATCAAATTTTAGATTATATTATATTGGCGGTTTAACAATACATTACAACAATTATTTTCCTTTTTTTTATTTTGTAATTTTTAAACACATTGTATTAAAAGTAAAGTATGTAAAGTTATTTAATATGAAGATGTGCAACAGTATATATGATATTTATATAGAAAGTTAAATTTATTTATCCAAGGCAACAAATTAAATGTCTACGACTTTATCCCCAGTGTACCCACACAGGCTTATGCAAAATAATTTAGGCTGCCGCTGTCTATGTTTATTTATCTGGTTCCTACGTAATTTCGTTTATACTTTTACTCAGGAAGCGGAATTCGTGCGTGAAGTCGGAATTGAGGCGCCTGAGTGTTTTCCGGCTCATTGAGTGTAGCATTTCAATTCAATTCAAAATAATTGAAGTCTGCGTATGTGACCGCAGGTAAGATAAAAGAAAAGAAAAACATTTCAACACGCTCAGCTGCCATTTATCTGAAAGACTTAAGTGCGGCTAGAGTATGCGAAATGAATAAACCAAAAGGAAATTGTTTGTTTGTAAAGTATAAAAGTTAAACTGTTGAGAAGGGCAAGAGAGCTTAAGACTTTGATATTTGCAAAGCAAACATTCGGAGTTTCGCAGTATAAAGCTGAAAGAGCATTAACATTTTTGTAATTTAATTGTACAAAAAACCATTCATTCAAAAGGTTTTAAATATATATGCAAATCGGATTAAAAAGAAACTCCTGTTTTTAAATCTTTTGCATTTTCCAGACATTTTAATTGGACTATAATTGGATTATTTTGTGATATTCTCCTCAAATTAAAATCCAATTAAAAGTCAAATTAAAATCCAAGTAACACAGCGTTAATATGGAATTTTTTATAATGCAATGTTTACTTCAACCTAACAATACAACCCCTACTTAGGTTCTCAAAGCCAAACCTTGACAATAGGGTATAATTAATTTTAGCATATGTAGGAATTCTTTAATTAGGAATTCCTTCTTATACTTTCGGTTTCGATTCGCATTGCAGCTCCCTTCGTAACCTTTGCAGTCGAATGTTATGCAGACTTGAACCGAAGGCCGTTTAATTGGGACTACACCGAGGCTAATTTAAATTGCCATTACGACTGCTTGACTCGCTTTGTGATGCCACTGCCATCAGAGGCACCTCTGCCAACCCCATTTTTCCCACCCGCGGGCCTCGCGTTTTGTTTATTTATTTTTGTTCGCCTCGCTCGTCATCGTTGTCATTCGTTCAAGCATAATGTGGAAATGAGGCAAAACTCTTGCCTACACCGTACAAAAAAAATGAAAAAATGTCATAAATTTCCATATACATTCCATTGAATCTTTGTATAATTTTTAACATTTTTAAGCGTGGTAATTTAGTACGGAATTTAATTAGATTTTAAAACTCAAAATGAGTTAATATTTTATAGATTACTATACTTAAAAAACAAAATATTAAAATACTAATTGGTTCCTGTATATCGATAGAAAGAAGAAGTATAAAGAGCTTGTGCAGATTGGCATATTTTAGTTGTTGATATTGATTTAAGTCTTATTTATGGACATCCTTCTAGAAGAATTTTTTTTCAAAATAGGTGTATTATGGTGTGCGAATTATTTTTAAAGTCGTTTATTCTTTCCTAAAGTGGTGATTGATCAAACAAATTGTTAAATCGATCATTAATTTTGCGCTACGCCTAAAATTTATTTTGCATTTATGGACACCAAAATTGGTCATTTTAAAAGGTGAGAGTGATGTACTCATTCAATATTAGATATTTGCAATTGTAAACTTATTGGATATTAGAATTAGGCTCTTTCGATTTTCCTATTTTGTTAATACTTTTTCGCAGTGTATTCACACACTTACCCGGCGACACCGCCGCTCTCCATGTGGTTGGCCAAAGTTACATCGTCGCTCCAAACATCAAATTGCCACTTGCGGAGGCCAAGGACGCCGCAGAGAACGTTGCCAGTGTGGATGCCGATTCGCATGTCAACATTTATGCCGGTCGCCTCACGCACGTGTCTGCCGGAATAAACGAAGGACAAACAATGAAATGAAAGGAGCACAAAGCAGCGCACACTCGCAGATGTATTATTAGGGATATATGTACACAACTACAGGCTAGTTGCTGCCGTCGTATTAACAATTTTATGGGCCATAAAACACAAGCGGACCAGGTCGACTTCAGCCTGATGTACGAGTATGATATGGGCGGGAATCGGACAGCGAATCGGGACAAAGCACTACTTAACAGTGCACATAGAAAAATGTTTGATTTGGTAAGAAAATTGAGACGAAACTTAAGGAATTTTAAGAGAAAATAAAAAATATACATCCAAAACCTACATTTACTTTTGTTATTATAAATTGAAATTTTTGGTTGCGTTATTAAAAAATTTACGAGGACTACAAATAAAATAACATTTTTATTAATGTTAAAGAAAACTTTAATAAAATCTTTAAAATTCTTCAAGATAATTATATAACTTTTGTTTCTAAAAGATGTCTTGTTTTAAAATTTAATAAAATATAGACTTATGCTTATTTAAAACTTTATGTATTATTAATCTTTTTAAAAAATTAGTATTTCATAATTTCTGTTGCTAAAATATATCATAATTTAGATTTCATAAAATCCTGATATTTTAAAAGTGCTTAAAGTAAAACATAAAAAGTATTTAACCAATGTTTTTTTTTTAAGTGCAAGTCTTGTATTGCCTTTCGAGAAACTTTAGTTCCTTGTTAGTCCCTTGCCCCAGAAAGTGGCTAGAAAGCGAAGGCCGGCCAACATCAAGTTCTTGAGTTATTAACGTTAACCAGCATTTTCTTTGGCCTGAATGCCGTCGGGGTCAAATGAGCCGCATCGAAGGCCAAATCACTTGGGAGCCCTTCAGGGTTTTATTTGCCTTTGCCCTTCCTGGTCATTTGGTTAGCAGGGATATGGATATGGCCACAAAGGCAAACAGTGTAACGGATTTTTGATCCGGATTTGGGTCTTTTGAATTTCTGAGTGCCAAACAAAAAGTTGCTAAATTCTGATTGAACTGCATAAATAATGTAAATATTTTCAAACTAAAAGAGATCAAATCAAGTGACTTAGCAACAAAAATCCATAGCATACTGTTTTGGGCGAATCGCTAACGAAAGTTAAAGCTTCCCCATTTGTGTGGCTTTTCGACAATAAAGGCAATGCAATTCATAATTAAATATTGTTTCCTTGGCTGTTGAAAACTTTTGGCGTTTTCCCTGGCCGCTTGTTAGCCAGCCCAAAAGTCAACAGTCAACGAGTATCTTTTTTTTTCGGCGTGTTTGTGGCAGGAACAAAGCCAGACTCTGGGGCAACTTGTGGGGCATGGGCCGGCGCTAAGATTAAAAGGCCACGGCTGCGAAAAGCGACGAAATAAAGGAAGGCCAGCGGACAAAAATAAACAATAGAAATGAGCACAGAGTCCAATAAAAAGCATGAAAAAAGCCAAGCCAAAAAGTCGAAATAAGAGGTTTTGTGGTGCTGAGGCCACTTGTGCATATATTCTCGCGTGTAATAAAATGGCCTTTGTGTCGATATTGTTTATTGTATTTTATGATGTTTCTGTTTGCCATTCTTTGTTTCTCATCTCGTTCGTGAGGTTTTATTGGATAATACGTTTTTAATGGTCTTCCATAAAACCAAGGGTTTGAGGGACTGACTTCAGTGGAAATACGAGAATATATCTGGCGGCAATTAAAGCTTTGAAATCGGTCACAGTTGCAAATAACAGATTCCATGCTCTGTCACGCTTTTAATTGGAAACAAATGTAAGGCAATACGTTAATTGTTTATGCGTTTTTATTTATTTACATTCTAGTTTGTTTTCTTTCGTTTTTAATACCGTCTTGTTTGCGTGGCTTTTTCAACTTTTGTAGGGGAAATCGCTAAGCGCGAACCGAAAAATAAGTGTTACTCAAATTTTAATAAAGTTGTCAATTTTTTTTCATGTTTAAAATAAATCAATCTTCATTTTTCGATAAATGAGAAAGCTGTAGCTTATTCAAAACACTTTAAAAATGAAAATGAATTTTAATTTAGTTCAATAAATGGTACATTTATTCTAGTGGTGATCATTTTTAACACTCTTATGCATTGCACCTCAAACCAAGTCCAAGACTAAGCAAACAAAGGACGCTTTATGGCTCAGTTAACTGTGAATGCACCAAAGATTTTCGCAATGCCAACAATCACGGTGTCAAATGGCCTTGGCCAAAAGGAGCTTCGACTGAAAGCCAAATGCTGGCCAGGAGCGAAAGACAAACAAAGACGTACGTCCGATGACGGGTCCAATGCAAATGTTTGCATAACCAACCAGTTCAGTCCAGTCCAGTCCAGTCGAAGCCTAGGTAAAAGGGCCAAAGGCGACGGCCAACGCAAAGTACAAAGTACACTCACCTGATGGCATCGATCATCTGCAGGCCCATGTTGACACAATTGGTTGCATGTTGGGGCCGGGAAATGGGCAGACCGGACACACAGTAATAACAATCCCCAAGGATCTTGATGCGAAGACACTGGTTCTCCTGCGGGGATACAGCAATTAATTAGTATTTAGACAGGACATTGGGCACATGTCTCATACTGTTTATTATTTCAGAATGTTGTTCATGTTCATCTAAAAGCAACCTTAATAAGGGACATGTCATCAATATGAGATGATATATATTAAATAACAAAAGGAGTTTAAAGTTTCGAAGAAGACTAATGTACTGATATAGATACTTTAATATATTTTGTTTGTAATCTTAGCTCATTAAAATAAATATAAATAGTTTAGTAAAAATTTTGTTTATGTCATAATATCATACTACTTGTAAATAGAAATTCGTAAGAAATGGTAAGAAAAAACAATTTTAAAGGTTTGTTTTACATTAACTAATAATTATTCAAATAAATAAGTTTCCCATATTATTGTTCAAAAATGGTAAAATATAATTCAATCTTAGGTAAATTAAAATACATTTATGGATACATTTAAATTGTTAACTTTACCTGAGCTATCTGATCGAAGCGTCCAAACAGATCGTTGAGCGTCTTGACCAAATCGCTGGCCGTCAGGGAACTTGAAAGTGGTGTGAAGTTGACGATATCCGCAAAGAGGATGGTGACGTTTGTGTGACGCTGGACGTGCAGCTCGTGGAATCTGGTGGCCGACGTGGACGCCTGTCCTCCAGCTCTCTGACAGGCGTCAGCCATCTTCAACATGATGCTGCGCTTCACCTGCACAGGGGACAAAACACCATCGGGATTATTGTTATTATTATAATCACTTAATGCATTTCTTATCCGAGCCTATGGCTTAACTAAATATAATTTGGGAGTTGTAATAATTCAGGTCTTTTAAAAACCTTTATTTTTCATATTTTACTTAAAATGTCTGTAAGTTGTTAACTAAATAAGTTTCTCGACGGTTTTCAAAACTTAACTTTTTCAATACTTAATCGAATGATTTAACATAATTATGGAAAATTATCTATAAAGAACCTACAAAGACTTTTTATATTGATTTTTTTTAAAAAGCATTTTTTCTGTTTCCTATTACTATTTTTTTAACTTGCGAAGGGAAGAAACAAATATCTCTGAGAAATAGGCATGCTGAAGAATTCGCGCTTGCCTTTATTTTATTTTGTTTACTTTTTTCATAGCCAAATGTCAAAGCTCTGAGTGTACTCACCTCGGCGGCGATGTAGGCGGGAATGACGCTGAGGAGCAGCTGCTCCTGCTGCTCGCGCTCGCATTCGAGCTTCACGCGCTGCTCGATTCCGGTGCGTGTACCGTCCACGGTCCGGTTGTGGGCCGCATCCGACATGATGCGGTAATAGAGCCCGGAAACGGAGGCACTGGCCAGCATCACAATCTCCCCGAAGAGCTAAGTGCGCGGGAAGGAATAGAAACGAGAGCGGTTAAGGCACGTTCCATAAATAATGAATGAGTAACCCGGGATGGGGAATGGCAATTACCAGCCGGCGCACATAGCGCATCGCTATGTCCTTGCAGCGCGTCGAGCGAAAAAAAAAAAAAAACAGAACCTGCTGCAACCTAATTAACAAATCTCGGAGCGGGCGGATGGCGGATGGCGGATTGGCAGGAAAGCCATTAGGAGAGTTGGGGGAATTGAAACGAGCTGGGAAACAAATTATTTCTCACCGGGCTGGCGTAAAAGAAATTAAATAGTTGCACAAAATGGGTTAAGTGAAAAACTACGCTTAAGAGATGGACTCTGTTTGTCTATGAGTGTTATATTTCACTTAAAATAATCTTCAGCCATTTCTGCGGTCTTGGTTAATCATAATTTATGCATGGTGAGGGAAAATTAGTTTTTTACCAAAAAGTGGCCCATAAAAACCCAAACCATTTTGCTATTAATTAAATATGTCTTGGCAAGCCGGCAGGCAACTTAAAGTGTTAAACCAAACAATATATATTTATATTCATTTGAAAAAAAAACTTATACACAAGAAAGTATACATTTCTTAAACCTTGCTTATCTAATGATTTATTCAATCAAACTGAAACTAGCTTTTAAAAATATCGTAAAATTGTCCAATGATTAGCTAACATGTTGTAAATATGTTTAAAATGTTGCCTGTAAAATAAGTTTACAAAAATATATTATCTTTGCCACGCCTCAAATGGTTCCTATAAAAAAATAAAGTTTATACAAATATGTTATCTTTTTTATTTATCGAATGTTTTTACGCTGTGTTTACACAAGCCCATTTTAAATAACATTAGGTTATATATTCCGTTTGGCTTTTAGAACGAACAGTCATAAAACAAATGTGTGTGCACATAAGAGTCCCTCAAATTAATGGTGCTCCCTGATCCGCGGTAATCCATTTTTCGCGTTGCTCTCGACACATTTGTAAATGCCAATCACATTGGAACTAATCCAATTGTTGGTGTATGGCCAGCATTAATGGGGCTCTAGCTGCACGGCCAACGCAAATGCAAATGCAAATGAATGAGGGACTTACCATTGGCAAATTGGGCGCATAGTCGGGACTTGTGCCGATCCGGTAAACGATGTGGATGGCGGTCATGAACAAAGCCAGCACCACAGAGACGGGCCAGGAAATGGGCAGCATGGAGTGGATGCACTGCAAACAGTCGCTCGAGTATTATAATCCCCCTAAAAGGAGTGCGACTGCAGAGGGCTTACCAGGAACAGGGCGTACATGGGCAGGGGAGCCAGTTCGTCCCCGGTAATGGCCGCAATGGTGCCCAGCGAGAAGGTGGTGACGATGGCGAAGGCCAAGGCGGCGGCCGGCGAGCTCAGCACCGCCGGAAACTGCAGAGCCGTCAGAATGGATCCCGAGATTAGGGCCGCCAGCACCAGCAGCAGCGTCTGCACCAGGTGCTGCCAATTCCACACATAAACAAAACGAAATGTAGTTAGCTTGGAATAGATAGAATCACTTAAAAAAAATGTTTGAGGTTAAATACAAAATTTATACAATTACAAATTAAATACTTTACTATTAAAACTAATTTTAAAACTTTTTTTTAACAACAGAGGAACATGACCTGATCAAAATGATTTATGAACCTTTCAGAAGAATTGACCTAAAAACTACATTTCGGAAAAAATAACTCATTGATCTATTTTTCAGTCTTATTCGTTGAATGTAGACTGCTCATGTTGATATTTTTTAAGTCATTTTTATAGTTTTTTGGTGCATAAGTTTAACATTTTCTCCATTAAACTCTGTTTAAGCAATTTTAGAATTTAAAATTAAGCTATTGAAATTTAAAGATTTTTTGTAATATTTCATCTTTGAGTTGTAATCAAATACTTTATAGCTATTGAAATTAAAATATTGTTTGTAATACTTTCATCTAAGAAATTATGAAATTTATGGAACACTTCGTTGCCTTTCTAAAATACGTTCTTAATAATTGTACATTTTAAAGTTTATTCTTAAATTTGAAGAGAAAATAGTTTTCTGTGTGAAAGCTGGTTAACCATACGCTGCAAATTTAAGTGTAGTAAGTGCTCACCTGCTCGTAAACGATGCCAATTATTATGGACACCACACATGCCAGCAGCGAAGTTAAGAGTCCCGATCTGAAAAGCGACTTGCGGAGCCTCTGGCGGTAGCGGGTATATAAATCGTTTAGGTGGATGTCTTCAGCTGCAAGGGGAAACAGAAGTTGGGTGTATTAGCATCCATTAGGTAATCATATTCTTTCAAGAAAAGTGGGGCAAACGAGAGAGGCGGTAATTATGTGGGGTAAGTTGCTTTAATGTGGGGATTTCCCGAAAACCTCTATGGATTCTTGTCGTGCGGCAGCGCACACAGCTTGCAGTGACTCAGGCACTCGTTTTCGGCCACCTTCTTCTCCCACACCTGGCTAGAGCTCGCTTATACCATATTTACATCCAAAACTGGCAGTATCTAAGGGAAATTATACATAAAAACTCTCTACAGATCAAATTAACATAAAATTAATGTAAACTGGGGGTAAAAGGAAGCACTAAAGAAGTTATAAAGGGGTATCAAACTATGTATAGTATATATTTAAAATAGAATTTATTTTTGACTCATTTCAAAGCCAAGTAATTTCTATAAATAAAAAAAAAATAAATTATGAGTCATGGCAATTTATATAATTAACAATAAATGCTTATTTACACCAATTGTAAATCGTGATTTAAGATACGCCTCCTGATTTCTTAACTATATTAAAATTAGCATATCTATAATCATAATTGGATCATTCTGAGCCAAAGTTCACCAGCCTCCTGGCGGTTCCTGGATTCGTACGTGATGGGGACTCACAGCCATTTAATTGACCGCCCACCGAAAGAACATGGCTTGTCTGGCATTTAAATTTGACATTTAACAACGGCATACATTTCACTGGCGCTCACACAAAGAAATTGTATTTCACAGACAATTGTCTTTGAAAAGCAACTTAATTGAGCTGTCAGGGGCCAGAGGGTGTGGTCGGATTTGGATATATGAAGCACATATACAAATGGATTCAAATACATACATGTATATATTTACCCAAAGGTGAATGAATAATGTCTGTTTCCCGAAGGTGATACAGAAATAACTTCATCGATTTATAAAAACAGTAATGAATTTATTTTGTGCGACAAATAGAAGCAAGTGGATTAAAAGTACAGATTTTACGGAGCTTTAATTGCACCAGCAAATCAGAATCGAGACAGTCGAACATGTAGGCATATCAACATTTATATAGCTGCAATTAAGGGAAAACATATATATTCAAAACACGCACATCGCTTTCGTAGGTAAGCAAGCAAAAATCATCACAGTATCCCACAAAAGTGTTGTGCACGCACTCAAACATCAAAATTAGCATATTGCATTGATATTTTACTCTTTGTACAATTTGTAAATCGATACGCACGGATTTATAGCTCGATAATTGACTGAGGGGCGTTTAAAGTGTTTGATTTATTTATGGTCGCAGACATGCCAGATAAGCCCAGCCCAGTGGATATTTGGTAACACATTAGTCTGATTTTCGTTGTGGTCAGCCTATTTATAGATGTGTTCTGGTAACTTGATTTTTTGTCTGCCGGCTGAATTGATTTTTTCCACCACGCACTGGCCCTATTTAACGGCTCTAACAAGCCAAGCCAAAAAATCAATAGATGGCCAGTCTGAGAGCCCTTAAAAGCAGGAATGAACCCAAGTCTGAGTGGTAAGGTCAAGTGTGTTTGTCCAGTGGTCGAATGTCTGGTTAATTAATGAGGGAAAATCCTGCAAATTATTAGCACAATTCTGATGACTAATTTTGGTTAAGTTTGCTTTGCTGATTAAGTGAATATGGTTTTACCCAAGAATTAAAACCATAAGAGTCTCATATAAATAACAAATGCCATCAAAAATTAAGACTCATTCGCTTGAACAGCTTCAGCTGAAATATGATAACCCTTTTATGAAAGTGTTGATTATAATTTACACATTCTACATTTTTAAGTAAGGAAACCACAGCATAAGCCATAAATAAAATCCAAGGCAATAAATTCGCCCAAGATGCATTTTTATGAAAGGGTCGAGAGAAATAAAGCCATTGTAGCTTTAGATAAGCTTGGTTTATCCTTTCAGGATGCTTTAAATCGGATTTTGAAGAATAGAATTTTTACCGCTCCGCATAATATTTATTGCAAACATTTTTCACTGAACAATCGCAAACCACAAAGAACACGTTAAGAAACTCAAAGGCAATAAATGCGCTTGAAATGTGTTATTATTTATAGGTAGGGGTTAAGGTATAAAGTAAATAATACAACTTTTGGGCGGGTTATAAAAATGGAAACCGTATTTAGCCGCCTTGTCGACATCGCATTAAGTTAAGGATTCGCCCATTGCTGCACCGCAGTCGAAGCGAAAAATTCAGGAAAAGCCACAGGCAGGAGAAAAGAAAATAAGTCGAGAGGCAAACACCAGAGGACACCAGCACATACTATGTAACGTATGGTGTTGGGGAAAAGGAGCTGCCCTCACTTGTTTATTCTCTGCAATCAAACAGAAATTCTTTTGACACGAACCGAGGTCCTGAAAATGTGAGTGTGTGCGTCAGTGTTTTTATAAGCGCCAGCACAAACACTAGTGCAGAGTGACAGATGCTCTTGTGTGAGTGTGTGTGTGTAAGCATTTCGGTGTGATTTTGTGAATTAGGGTGTACTAACTTGTTATCTAAGAGCTAAGAGCTGAGTAAAAGATAAATCATTTTTTACGAATAAATATCTTGTGGAGTAAAAATAAATCGGTTATTGTTTGCATAAAATAAAAGTTTTTTTAATAACATGATAGTAATTGTGTAAACATGTTCAAGAATATAATAGTTTTTGTAGATACCACGAATTTGTGATTGTAAAATAGCTTTACAAAGTCGACTTTCTAATGCAAGATTAGTTAGTTTTCTGTTCAATCAAACCGAATCACCCTAGTCCTCGTATCTGCGAGCTGGCTCATAAAAAATAAAGCGGCTAAAGTGAAACAGTTGCAGACAACCTAGACGACAGCGACATTGCCGAAGCTTTTGGCATAGATTTTATTTCATTCCGGGGCTGAAGCGATGAAATCTGCCACGGCCTCCCCTTGGCTTCCCATGTGATTAAGTATGTGCGGACAGATTGTCAAGGCATCTCCATCCTGGCAAGCAGTCGTTGAGACGAGGGGCAGGCGATTAGGGAGATTGAGTTCGTTGCTAACGAATTTTCATGTGGGCTGGCATCGCATTAAAGATGCAGAGCAGCCCTGAACAAAAAGCACAAGATGGCTTAGAACCATGCCTCGGGTTAAGCTACTGGGTAACCGGCTTAGTGGTGAAGCTGCTTTTAGACCGGCGCCCATGAAACTGCATCCTAGAACCACAAGGATAACACATCCCAGTAGGCGGTAAGCAAAACTCAAGTGTGAGCTAAAAATTCGATTCGTTTTGATTTTTAAGTAAAAAAAAAAAATAAGATAATCCAAATTGTAGTACATTTTATGTCATAGTCATTGCTGTTTCCTGCTCCTATAAAATACGGGATGTCCAAATATAGAACCTATGGGGCTCAGACACCAAAATGCTTTCATGAGGTAATTTTAATCCGTCTAAGATCTGGAATTCTTATTTGTTATTCGATCTACAGTCTAACCTAATAAAATACATGAATTCAATGATTAAGAGATTTAATGTTGGTCCCCAAACAACATTTGGTTCTTCTATTGTTACAAATATCGATTTCGGCTATCGATTTTGTCAGCTCTTACATCGCGTCCTGATTAACATTGAAAAGAGTTTAGGTAAGTACAACATTAGTTGATGTAATTCCTTTTTTCTTATTTGCTTTTTCCAGACCTTAGGACAAGGGAGATGAATTTAAATCCGAATCTTGGGAGCGTTTTTCAGGGTAATCAGGCTCTTCTGGACGAATCCACTTCGATTCAAGAGCAAAAGCCATCGGAATCTGAAGAGGATTTGCCCAGTTTTAAGTGTCCTTTGTGTCTGGTGAATCTCCAACAGCGAAAGCCCATGTCGACTAGGTGTGGCCACATTTTCTGTAGACAATGCATCCAAACTGCTCTTAAATTCGCCCAAAAGTGTCCTGTATGCAAAAAACGGCTGTTGAGAAAACATATATTCCGGATATATCTATATTAATTATAATAATTTTGACATATGTATTTAGATTTATAAAGAAATCGTGTCATTAATAGTACAGTTTGTTGGGAATATGTGGTCTAAAAAGTACTCTTAAATTCATTTATTTTTCCTGAAGTTTTTTTTAACACTAATGGAAAGTTAAACAAGTTATGGCTTTCCATTGCACATTTAAATGATTTATGTTTTGCGGTTTTGACAGTTTTTCCATAACTATTAATTTATTAATATTTATGTACTTCTGGTATATGTATTTTATCTCTGGCCTTTAACCTCCTGCCACTATTTATCTGTCTAACTAAAATACAACCCCCTGCTGCGTAATTTTCAAAATATTTCACTCTTCGGTTGAAAGGCTGCCTGAAAGTATGCAACACCATTGGCCAGTGGCAATGGAGATGCCAAGATATTGCACATACGACCCGTCGGCCCAGACCGACAACATAAAATGAAACAAAATGCAAGCTGCAAATGCCGCACATGCCTGACAGCCGACCAAACTGCAAGCCCCTCCACGTCGCAACCGCCACCTGCTGCAACATTGTAAATTTCATCCTCCTGGCTGAGACAGGAATTACAAGCTTTTTGCGCTGGATCGTGTACCGAATGGCAAGCAGATGGCAGCTGGCAAATGGCAGACACCAGTGGCACATGGTTTCCCCAGGGATTTCAACGTTGGCGATTTAAGCGCGATGCCTCGAAGTGGATTGCCGCTATATTCACATTCTGTGGGGCCTAGTCCGACGATCCACTCGAAAAGGCGATGTGTTTGCATTCACTTTGATTTTAGAGCCCATTCAATAGGATATATGTTTGAGAGGTATTCATATTTATCCAAACGCCACACTCGCACATGTTATGTGGCCCTTAGTCTGTTTGGAAAACAAATTTTTAGCACCACATAACTCCGGCTATTCAACACATTTTTAAACTGCACAGCCAGGCGTGACCGAATTATTTTTCTAAAGATTTTGTTGATACATGTGTTCAAGACTTAGCA